ACCGGTTTGGAGCACCGGTTCCTCTACAGAGGCTAAAGTAACTCTCGCTTCTCTCGTGCTTTCCAAACTTCCCGCGTGCATCCAACTCAATAGAAGCATGCTAAATATTCTTAAATAAGCAGTAAGTTTTATTTTTTTAAACAGGAATTGACTATTGGAGTACTCCATTCTCAGAAGACTATTCTATTCTATATGTCGACTAACGTTCAGCCAATTTTATGTTTAGGCCTCTTTACCTTCTAAACTGCTTTATCACAAGATGGTGAACAGCTCTGACTCAATCTCTTTGGATCCTCTGGGTCGTTCACGCGCTGAGGTTATTTTTGAGGTGAGCTTGGCCATTCTCGTTTGACTTGCATGTCTACCTGGTAATTTGCTGGTTATCTATGTGATTAATAAAGACTCCAGGCTCAAGAGTATCACCAACATTTTCATTCACAATCTGGCCCTAACTGACATCCCCATGGCGACACTTATCATGCCATTTTGGATCCTGAGCCTCTATACCGGAGCTTGGAGTTTCAGTCAACTATGGTGTGAGATGGCTGGTATGAGACAATTCACAATGGCTATCGCTTCCATTCTGAATATGGGTGCAATTGCACTAAATCGATATATACGAGTTGTAAAACCAGCCATTTATAGCAAAATATTCCCCAGCAGAAGAATTGCTTGGTTTTATTGTGTTCTCGTTTGGTTGGTTGCTCTTTTTTTCAGCACAGCTCCATTGTACGGATGGGGAAAGTTTGAATATCACACGAAATTCTCTACATGCGCGTTAATTTGGAAGAAACACATTTCGTATGTGCTAATAGTTGGTGGGGGGGTTATGAACGGTTCTACAATCGCAATATTTTACTGCTATTATAAAATCTATAAAACAGTTAAACAAAGCACGCATAATATATGCGCACACAATCAAGGAAAACGTGTCACTGCGTCAAATGCTCAACCCACTGACATGAAACTTTTGAAGGCCAGTTTTATCGTGGTTTGTGTTTTTGAGATGACCTGGGGTCCAGTTTCCATGGCCGTTGTCATTGAGGCTGCTGGATATAATGTTCCGAGGGAAATCTTTGCAACAGTTCTCTACTTGTTGTTCTCGAGTAGTTATGCAAATCCGATTATCTATGGGCTAATGAATCCACGTTTCCAACTGGCCTTCAAAAAAGCACTGAGCTGTGGTCGCTCTGACAACGAT